ACGTACTTTAAACTAGGAGGTCCCGCCCTTTAAATAACCTATTAGTGTTGCCGGGGGTGTTAAACCCATCCCATTTCACCATTTTCACAGTATACCATACCTGTATTACCATTCTCTCCGAGCAGGCTATAGCGGGTGGTTGGAGGGCACCACTGACAGGTCCCACTTCTTGAATCTCCGTCTGTTGTTTGTCTTTTCCCAGTATAAAATGGCCATTATTATGTTGGTGTGCTTCTTTTTCCTCACACAAAAAAAAGCAGGCTATAACATTTTTTTAAGGTAAAACCATCTTCCCGTTCTACATACATGTATGTATTTAAGTTCACTACAATGGTAGAGAACATCCATGCCAGCATTTGTCTCATCTTGTTTGTTTTAGTGTTGTACGGCACTTGCAACACAATAAGGTCATATAAGTGCCGAAAATTAGAGGTGTTACAAGAGAGTAACAAACACAAAAAAGAAGGAGGAGAGAAAACGACGATAGATATTTCTTAGGAAAGAAGGTTGAAGGAGCAAACCACACCAGAGCACCCGCCAACCACCCACTGTATCTCATCTGTACCTTGGTATCTCAAGTTAGTTAAAGTAAAGAGGAGCTAAGCAACGTGATCAGCAAAGTGAACAACCAGGACACAAAAAATTAGAGAAGACATCACTCTTCTAAGAAAATTGTGAAACAGTCTGTCAGATATTAAGAGTGTGGAACAGAATGTCAGAAATCAAATATGCAAAAACAATTTGCCTTCCAAAATCATTAAAACAGAGCGGGGAAGGGGGGACCTGAATGAAACACAAAAGACTAACAGCATTTTGTTTTTTTAAAAAAAGGAAACAAGTTTTAATCTCTCTTCACATTTTATTGCAAAAAAGTAGTCAATCATTTCAAGGAACATTAAAACATCTGTGATAAAACAGGATCCACCAAATCCTTCATAGTCATAGGATCAGGTCAATGAAACCTTCCAGGTAAAACAGACAAATAATACATTTTACTTTTACAGAGATCAACTTACTCCTGACCAAAACTGAAGCTGGCTTAACACATTACTGGCACAAATATATATATATGTATAAATAAGTGGGACATAAAATTCACACACGAGACAAGGAATTGATACTTTTGTTGAAGACTGACTGCAACCTGCTATCAATCATACACAACATAGGTCACACAGAAGACTGAGAGTAACTATGTCAGGATGGCAGGGAAAAATAACCCACACTTCTTATAGTATAATATAGGGTCCACATGTCAAACTTGGTGAGACGAGTCAAATTTTGAGGCAGCAAGGTGAAATCAGGCACTCATCAAAATAATGAAATTAAAGAAACTGGCATTTTTCTGCCAGTTTGGCAGTTTTTATTGAATTGTTATTTTTTGGCTCAACACCAGTGTTGTCCAATTAAGAACACATTTCTGAATGGATTTTACTGAAAAACGTTAATTAAAGGCATAAAAAATATATGTCTACAGTTCTACAGACTATCAAGCTAAGGAAATAACCAAACTTTGGCAGCCATTTTCTCTCTATTTCTACCTTTGAAACCAGGTGACCCCATCTTCTTGAATCTCAAATATCTTGACTTCTGTTCAAGATAGATGGGTATTTGTTTAACTGATAACAAGACAACTGAACAATCTTTAAGATTATACCAATAACTCTGCATGCCCCAAAATTGACGAGCGCCTGATTCCACTGCGTCATGATACAATTCATAGCTCCTTGCACCACAGTGGCCAGTAATGTGTACGAGACAAAGTGGTTACACAGAAATACATAACACAACAACTAATGCATTTTGATTGAATCTCTTCATGACTATACATTTGGCTAAACCTAGCCTTGCAATAATACTCTGATAAAAAGGATTTCTACGTGACAATGAAACGACACAAAAGCTAGGACCAAAGCTTTGCTCTCAGTGGCAGACAAGCCAGAAGAGAAGGACTTTACTTTGCACCATTTAGCTACTTGAACACATTACATTACAGGTATAGAAAACAGGGATGCTACTCTAACTTTTTTTTAAATAGCTGAAAATCGACGCGCGATGGTCTTGCTAACATGAATATCAATTTGAAACCCAAATTTTTTTTTACCAACTATAGATTCTATCTCGATCTCAATAACGGAATAGCGGATCAGGATCAAAATACCGGAAAAAAGCGGAAAAGTGGCATCCCTGATAAAACAAAATATTTCTCTCAACCAAGACAAATTGAGAGCAAGGAAATTTCTTTCCACCACTATTCAGTATGACAAGGTAAGAGAAATAAAACCTTTGTTGTAAAAAAAAAGCCCTTCTGCAAACCCCTCACTCACACTGCTCTGCGTTCAATATATTCATATATCTCAAGCAATTCAAAATAGACATGCAACAAAAGATCTCTCCAATTGACTCGTGAGCTTCATTCCCATTATCATTCGCAAATCTTGTCGTGAAAATTCATATTTTCTCTTAGGCATCTGCAATTCTGTGAGAAGCAAAACCTGAAATTTGAGAATATCTACTTTTCAACACAAAAACAAACTTCCTAACTCAAATCCTTAAAAAACGAATTACATATAGATCTATCAGCAGCAAAAACAAAAGAACAGCATTTTTAAAGTAATATAATATTACTAATAGCCAAGTTACCTCTGCCCTAAAATAATAACCCCAGAAAAACACCCATTTTCACTCACTACAAACATCAGTTATAAAATTACACAGGTCAGTATCTCTACATACACATCCAAACCAAACAAGAGCAAGCTTGCCTTCCATTAAAATATTTGTTAATCACTTGATCATAAGAACCTTATGTCCTACAACAACTTCAAATGAGACCAATTAAAGCATAATAAGGCAAGGGTTAAAGCTAAGGTACATTTAATGTTACATGTTGATGAAATGCAGGGTCACATAAAAATGTACATATGAAATATTAAACACGTTCATTCTTAATCTCAATGATATGATATGGCTATTTCAAGTAAAAATTACATTCCTTTCATTATGGCCTAGGTCACCCAAGAAACAAAATATCTTTATCTCAATAAATGCCCATCTTTTACAGTTTCATAATATCGGTTACACATGCTCAAGTAATATTTTACCGAAAATCAAATTCTAAATGTGGAAAAAAAAAGCAAGAAAAGGTCAACGATAATCAGGGACAATCTTTAAAAGAATGACACAGTTTTTTCTTGAGCCTGAAACATATTGTTTTCTGGGCTGGGTGCATCTGAACAACTTGACGACACACAGCAATTGATACAACATAAGACTGTCCCCGTGGTTTTATGCACACCGCATATTTTAGCATAATTTGATCATTTTTTGCATAATTTTTGCTTATTTTCTGTTATCATTCTTTGTTAAAATTAACAGAATCGCATAATTTCACATTTTTGGGGCTCAGTTTGCGTAATTTCAGAATTTTTCATGCATAAAACGACGGGGACAGATAAGAGAAAAATAAGACGCCCCACTGAAGAGATTTGACTCAGGTTAGTTTTAGTTTTAGTAAGAGTTTTACGGCACTTGCAACACAATAAGGTCATATAAGTGCCGAAGATTAGAGATGTTACAAGAGAGTAACAAACACAAAACAAGGAGGAGAGATAAGGACGTTAGTTGTTTGATGAAAAAGAAGAAGCAAACCACACCAGAGCACCCGCCAACCACCGCAGACTTAGCCTAGGTTGTCCAAATCACACTGAGGTCAAGTGTCTTATATACGAACAACATGTCAATCAGTGCAAGTGTGCAGGATGTACTGTGATATACTTCAAAATACAGCTAGAAATTTGACTATAGAACTTCAAATTGCATACGGAGATAACTTAAGAACCTAGGCTAGCTCAAGAGTTATAACTGTGCCTCATATTTTCAAAAATGACTGTAATATGAGCTACATGTAGTATAAATTAAAGGAATTAATGCCAGAAGGATGGAAGAGGGAGTGACAACCACAAAAGTTGAAACAATTAATCCTCTAAACTGTCACACAGGAGGTTTCATAATGAAACTCAAAATATGAACAAAATAATTGCGAGTGTATTACAGATTTGCATTCTGTCTTGTAATGATCAAGTATTATTTACAAGTAAGACACTCAATTTATTATGTTTTCAGCATCATCATGTATACAAAAACGTTGAGCTATTATTAGAATGCCCATCCAACTCAAACTTTCATTCAGCTCTTATTTCCGTCTTTCTTCAGTCTTTTAGCTTTATAAAGAGAAAATAGATACTACTTTCTCCTTACTACATTCATAGCTACCAGCAGAATAAGTTAATCCTTACAAAGAAGTGAAATATTACAAACACAAAAACGAAGTTCATTATGACACACTAGGTTCCGTCAAGAATCGCATTTTCCTTACAAACTCTTTTTACATTTTTCAAAATAAATTCATTGATAAATATAATTAATATAGAAATGACAAAGTATAACACCACTGAACTTTTTTTTAGTAAGTGTTTTACGGCACTTGCAACACAATAAGGTCATATAAGTGCCGAAGATTAGAGGTGTTACAAGAGAGGAACAAACACAAAAAACGAGGGGAGATAAAGGCGATAGATGTTTGATAGGAAAGAAGAAGCAAACCACACCAGAGCACCCGCCAACCACCCACACCACTGAACTTACACCCATGGAATGCTTCATATAGAATCTAATCATTCAAAGTTTCCCAGTATCATTATCACTCTTACACTTAAAAACCAAGACGAGAGAGCACCCCAGATCAACACATTCACAGACAACATAGGCATAACACCAAAAGCTTTTCACGGTCATCAGCAGTGATAATGGACTCCCTAACAGTAAGAATGCTTCCAAACTGTCCATTAAATCAAACAGAGGAAAAGAATTACTGTAACATAATTTAGGACTTATACATCAACACAGAAAATTTGCGTATATATATATATATATACCTGAAACGGCAAAGATATAAATGAAAGAAGGAAATGTTTCTAGTAAAATGTCAAATCCTTGAAATTGCAAGAGAAGGGCTAAGTTTATTAAAATAGAATAATAATTTAACGCTGTGCCAATATTGCAAGTCTAGAAAAAGGCAGGTCGCTGTCCTTGTCTAGTCAGCTGCAACAAAACGCACTCTCAATTAACCAAGCACCAGGAAAAGTGGGGGGGTTGCTTTCTGTGAAGTACATTACAGAAGCTATTTTTCACAAGCATTTGTGTCATAAGAACAATGAAGAATAAAACTTGTTCGTGATTGGTAAAACAGCTACATACCTCCAGTTACAATGCTTCTAAAAGCAGCCAAAAATATACTGGAGTACAAAAAAATTACATAAACAGGACTGCAAAATCAGAAATATGAGATGCAATACAGTGATACAACGCAAAAGTGAAGGGACTCTAGACTAGCACCGGAACAGGCTTTCAACTATACACATGGGGACATATTATCCCGATCCTAAAAACAGAATTCTTTTTATTTTTTTAAACATAGAAGGGGGAAAAAAAAAAACATCATTACAGTTAGCAGCATATTATGCTGTCTTTTCTGATTTAAACTGTGCTTCTGAAACTTGTGAATTCGTTGAGGAGCCAGACTCTTGGGCTGTTCCAGCACTACTATAAATTCCAGGATCCTGAGTCTTGCTGTCTGATTGTGGATCTTTAGATGTACTCGCAGCTTGATCAAGGTCTGAAAATGTTCATGTGGAGTGAAAAATAGTTGCGGTGAGTTGTTGGTAATGGTGAACAAGCATGCTATCTGCCACATTTAATCCAGAACATGTTAGGACAATAGAAGAATTGAAAAGAAGTAGAAGGAACAGATTTACATCAGAGCGCCCACCAACTACCCACTATCAGAAAGACAAAGAATGTCGTTCTACGGAAGATAGCAGAGCATTCATTTATTATAAGTACAATAAGACTCACATCAGCGACAGTCCAACCTCTTTCCTTTTTAGTTTAGTTTTACAGTGCTCACAACTGCACAAGGTCAAATGAGCGCCAGAAGATTAGAGCTGATACAAGAGAGTAACAAACATTTTAAAAAAAGAAGGGGAGATAAGGATGATAGATGTTTGACAGGAAAGAAGAAGCAAACCACACCAGACTGAGCACCTGCTAACCACCCACATCATTTCAGTTCAGGCCGATGTGTTCGTAGGACAGAACTGCCGTAAGACACTCCCCTGTTTAAATGTTTATTATGAGTAGAAATGTGCCTCAAGACCATTCTCCAATAACATAGAGCTTGCTGTTGAGCAAGAATTTGCACTATACAAATACTCATCATCATCATCATCCAGTGCCAGATCTGCGATCATGGTTTTCCATTCTTTCCTTTGTTCGGATACTTTTAAAAAAGCGATGTTTCACTGATCTTTCCCTGTTACCCATTATACAAATACCACTGGTAGTAATTATGTTTAGTTTTTGTAAGGTTTTACGGCGCTCGCAACTACATAAGGTCATATGAGCGCCAAGGGGTGGATGTCAACAGAGAAGTCCAAACCAGGAATCAGTAGTAATTATTATTAAACAGCTGTAGAGTTGTTATTACAAAGAGACAGCACAAAACAATCATATTTCACTGCGACCAGGTCAGGACACAGTTGCTTATTACTTCTTTTTTATAGTAGAGGGTTTTACAGAGGTCCCAACAGCATAAGGTCATATGAGCGCCAAGGGGTGGGTGTCAACAGAGAAGTCTTTACAGGGAATCAGACTTAGACAGCTCACCTCTCTAGCTTCAATAGCACAAGGTCTGCTTCGACTATCAAGGCGCCCCAAAATAGCGGGTCACAAGAAAATGACAAACATACAAAACAAGTAGAGGAAAATGACAATAGTAAGGATCAGGAAAGAAAAAGCAGCAGTTCCCTGTTGTAGATCACGCACAGTTTTGAGCGTGACACGAGTCAGCCCATTTACAATTCTAATATGCTTGAACGAGAAATGTCCCCACTTTGGGAATGGCCTAAAGACACTACAGTCAGTGGCATTGCCCCGGGGTGTACACAGTTGCTTAGTTGCACTGAAAAGAACAAAAGTAAAGAAGTAGGAAGAACAGACCACAGGGGAAAAGTCAACAACCAGTCACATTAGTTGAGATTTGTGGATTTGCTTCATTCAAAGAGACACATTCCACTCTAAACATAATAGTTATTTTGCACAAATAAAAGGAAGATGAATGATATACAATTAAAAAATAAACGAGAAACAGAAAAGACGCATGACCTGCTACCGGAGGGCTCCTAAATACTGTAGTAGCAATGAGTTCTGGAATTGTTTATCATATCATAATATAATAATATTAATGATGACAGAAAAGAAGTAGAAAAGCAGACCATGCAACAGTGACAACTAGCCTTGCACTCAGTGGTATATATGGACAAAAGCAGTTTACAGAAAAAACAATACAGAGAGTAAGGAAAGAAGAAAGAACAGAGACACCATTTTCAAAGACAAGACTGCTGTTGAAGAATCGCAAGGTGAATGAGCACAAAACCAGCCACACTATTTTTTTTAAAAATCAAGGCAAGAGTAATCAAGGTTTTGTTTGAGTACAGAAAAGCACATCGACACAATAATGGTCATTTAGTGCTGACAAAAAAGTAAGTTTTAGTAAGAGTTTGAGGTTTTTTTGTAGTATTAGTAGAGGTTTTACGGCGCTTGCAACTGCATAAGGTCACATGAGCGCCAGAAGAATAGAGGTGTTACAAGAGAGTAACAAACATAAAAAAGAAGGAGGGGAGATAAGGACGATAGATGTTTGATGGGAAAGAAGAAGCAAACCACACCAGAGCACCCGCCAACCACCCACGAAAAAAAGTAAAACAGACAGACATAAACAACAGAGGGAGAGTACAAAAGTAGGACCTGCCAGTGGCACCCTCCAACCACCCGCAGGACAAGAGTAACAGTGAAAAAACAAAAAGTTCAAGATAAACCCACACTAGGGAGACCACCCAAAATTTGGACAGAGAGAGAGCAATGGTAACCAGCAGACAAAAGCACTGGTTAGAATTGACAAGTTGACAGATTTTCAAGACGTTTGGTTCTACCAAGAATTACCCTAGAAGGGTACTCTCACCTGCATAAAGTTTCTCGGCATCTTCATCTTTCAAGCTGTCCACAAACTGGGAGTCTCCCTCTGGTTCCTGACACGAACCACCTGTATGCTCTTCATCTTCCACAATGTCCTGTGGAAAGATTTTTTAAAAAGCAATGTAAAGATGATAATAATAATAAAATTTCCCTTGTATAGGCCATTCCCACTACGAAATTGGCCGAATGCGCTTCACAATATTACCAAGAACACAAGCACCATGTGATTTCAATAGTGATCCTTTCTCTCCATCTCTCCTACCACCCCAACTCCCCACTTTCCCTCAAGTCAATCTCACTCTCCCTACTGTCTCCCCAGTACACGCTTCAGTAGTCTCACAACTCTACCCCCCACAAAAAAAAAACTTTTTAAAAAATCAAAGGGAGTGACTTATGCCTTCAGTTTAACTTTCTCATATCTAATCCACCCTACTCTGATCACCTGCCAGTATTTGAAAAATGGCAGTGATATATGGTCGCTTTTAAGGACAAGTGGGCAATTCCGAAAAATGCTGTTTTGAGAAAATCGAAAGTATAGTGTTTACACCTTGTTCAGTTTCATTAAAAAACTAGGAGAGTTTTCTCTATAACCAAACAAATATATACACCAATGAAACCAAACTTCTCCTATAGGTAGGGCAATGCTCACTTTTGGTGTAGGTCAAGATTTCTTGAAACCCCCGAAATCTGGGTTAGCCCGCTTGTCCTTAAAAGCAATCAAATATAACCACCCACAAGAGAGGGTTTATACAGCAGCACACATCACAGACTCTGTCAAAAAAAGGGAGAGTACTTTCTTAGCCAAGTCAACACCCCAATCCCCTCCCCATCCATTTGCCCACAAGCCCTTATAACTCACTTATTTTTTGCCAAAGTGCTACATTCAACTTGGCACAAAATGCAGCACAATTTAGACCTTTTTCTCAGTGTCAATTATCACTTGCAGTATACACCATCAGCACAGTAATTGCTGTATTTCTCCTTTAGTTTTAGTAAGTGTTTAACGGCACTTGCAACAAAATAAGGTCATAAAAGTGCCAAAGAATAGATCTGTAACAACTTAGTTACAAGAGAGTAACACACATAAAAAAGGAGCAGAGATAAGGACGATAGATGTTTGATACAAAAGAAGTAGCAAACTACACCAGAGCACCTGCCAACCACCCACGCTATATTTCTCTTATACACAGACTGTCATAATGGTAACACAGCAAAAGAACCTTAAAGAGCAGAGCAGGACTAAACAAGAACCACCACCAAACACCCTAACCAACTACAGTAACAAATACAAAGATCAACTGCAGACCTAATCTTTTACTTCGAAAACACCAAAATGTTATTTTTTTGTATACTGACTAAATATTTCCGGCAGATTTTTCGCCAGCACTTTCCATCTAAAATTAAAACATCCAGAACAGTCCAAATTATGCAAAAGTCACAGGTGAATGAACGAGTTTTACTGTGTGCCAGCCACACATATCAGGAACAAAAAAAAAAAGGTTTATAATGTAGGTACAGTACCTACAAAGTCATGATTAGTTGAATACTTACACTTAAAAGCTCTTGCAGGGCCTCCGCTTTTTTCGCTATGTCTGCCAGTCGAGAATTTTCCTCTTTCAAATTGTCAATCTCTGTGCAGAGCTTAAAGACAAGAAGAAAGAAAAAAAAAAAATTAAAATTGATACATGTTTTGAGCTTTCCATGAGAAGCTTCCTAATGATTAAATCATTTGAAAATAGTGCTTCAGCTGTTGTTCCATGAAAAAGATTTCAGGGTTAAACAGATGAGCCAACTCTTAAAACATAGTAAGCAATCTTCTCTTCTACAACTAGTGGAGGTTGTTGGAAAGACATTCAAACTAATCCAAGTTTTCACGAGCTTCTTCCAAAGCTAAATTTAGGGAAATATTTAGTCTCTAACTGGGAAATAAATGGGGTGCTCTTATTTGATAATAAATTTTTTAAAACCCAGAAGTCGGTTGCTAAAGTCCAGATACGCCTCTAGCCTAAGGAATTTAACATGATCATACAATATGACACAATTCTTATTTTTCCCCTACTGAGCACTCCCTTGTTTCTTGCAACAACAAAAATACACACGCCCTTCTCAATAAAAATAAGCGTAAGCAAAGATAACTGTTGTCATGATTAGGTCTACGTATAAATTATATGGAGGCTAAAATACTTACTTTTTCATTTTCTTTCAAAGTCTCCTTCAAGGCTATTCTCCGTTCCTCTGCCAGCTCTTTCCAATAGGTCCCAGATGGAGTATCTACAAAAAAAAGTAAAAATATGTAAAGTCCACACAATCAGAAGAATTCTTAACCCTATCCATACGCCGTGTTTTACTATAGTATACGACGTGGGGAACTCTGTGCCACCACTTCCCAAAGAGGAAATTTACCCATTAATCCAATCCGCACGCTTTGCATAGCAGTCTGTCAAAATTATTTTTTTAGAAATACTGAAAGTTTGAAAGAGATCTTCGTACAAGAAGCATTCTAAAATGTGAAGAATACAACCCCGGGGGTACAAAATGACCACAGGGCGTACGGATAGGGCTAAAGTGCTTTACAATTTTATTCTGAAATAAGGTATTACAACTGTTCACAAAGTAATCTGAACAGAGAGTAAAAGCTACATATATGCATTTGCATTCAATCAGCCTACACTGTGTCAAGATAAAAAGTGAAAAACGCCCAGCGTCTTACTGCATTCACTTTGGACTAAACCAAATTTAAAAAGCATTCTAATTTCATAATTCCCAAAGGAACAAAGATGAGTTTGAATTCAACTCAAACAAAAAAACGATTTGCTGGATACAGATCTTCTGATCTTCGGAACTTGTATGAACTAATTGTGTTGCAAGTGCCGTAAAACTAAAACCAAAACTAAAAGGTACCAGATCACCGTCTATATAGGACACTGGTCTGTCAAAAGTTATCTTCCCAAATACTGAACCCCAATGACAAGATAGAAAAATTTGTTGTCAACTAATATTTTTCAGGACAAAAAGACACCCACCACTTTTAGGAATCAGATTTAAAGACCTACAACACAACAATTCTGAAAGCTTCATCAACTATCAATAGACACCCCCATTCAATAAAAAGCAATAGAAAAATTCGAACCATCAACTAGTAGACCAAGTGTTTCCTGTTCGCCCAGAGTCGAACCCCTGCCACTGTCACCCTGCACAGAGTCCAGCGACTGCCAGCGTTCTTGGAGTAAGCAGTCGAGAAGTGAATCATCCGTCTGAGTATTGCGGCAACAGGTTATAACCGGGCACTCGGGGGGCACAGAAGTGTCTTGGTATATTTGGACTGGAGAATGGGACCCACTGTACTCAGGCTGGACCAACTGGGGGGAAAAAAAGGAACAGAAATTATGTTTTAGTGAGAGTTTTATGGCACTTGCCACACAATTAGGTCATATTAGTGCCAAAGATTAAAGGTGTTACCTGAGAGTAACAAACATAAAAAAGAAGAAGGGGAGATAAGGACAATAGATGTTTCATAGGAAAGAAAAAGAAAACTACACCACAGCACCCGCCTACCACCCACAAAGGTACAGAAAGAAAATAGCCTGTAGAAAAAAATATGACAAAGAACCCTTTCAACACAACAGAACAAACACAAATATGCATGTAATTTGGTAATCAAAAATAAACTGACATAATTACTATGTTCACTGAATTGTTACCCCATCCTGATCAAAGAACTTATATACGTTGCATTTAATAACGTACACAGCTTAGAATGGATTTCTTTGTGTGATCAAATTTCTACATCAACTTAGCTCCACGTCTTATGTTAAAAAAATAAAAGCAACGAATTTCAAGTAAGAAGGAGTTGTCTTTAAGAAATGACAAAGTAAGGAATCACTCATCACTCTATGTGTACGTTACTGAACTGACAAAATTTTGCGTTTCGCAATTCCCATACAAATTTCTTAACCTAATCTTTTAAAAATACATTTATGAAAATGAAAATTAAAGCATTTTTTTCAAGTAAATACATGTGTACATGAAAAAGAAAGCTGAGACTGAAGACTCACATTTTCCTTCGATACCAGTAAATTCTCGTGTTTTCCCCCATTCAGTCGTTTTCCCCCTTGAGCTGCAGACTGGAGTGTTTGAAGATTTTTCCTCTCATTTTGAGCCTGCAGGAGAAATTTAACAATAATTACAAAGATATAATTATATAAGACAACAGCTCAATCCACGTCATAAATTTAAATAGAAAAATTTAAGCCAAGAAACACTTGGGGGGGGGTTGGGTTTACAGCGCTCGCAACTGCATATAAGGTCATATGAGCGCGCGGGAGAGACTGTGACACTAATTAATTGGAGTGGACAAAAAAAAAGTCACCAGTACAGTCCCACCAACAAGGGCGTAACTCTCTCACCTCTCACTGGCGGGGAGCCACTCATACTGGTAATCAGCCTTTTCAGATCAGAACAGGCAAATCATTTATTTTTCTCTGCACTAGAACAGTGAGCACACAATAGTGTAGGCACTAAGTGCTATAAACATGATCACTATTACTTTACCCCAAAGTCTGTTGTAGTGGGATGTTTTCTATAGAATCATTTATGTCTCTATCTCTTTTTTGGGGGGCGAGTGTTTTACGGCGCTCGCAATTGCATATAAGGTTATATGAGCGCCGGGGACACACCTAACATTTTCAGCTGGTAGGAAATTTTGAATTTTGCCCAGGTGGCGGCCGAAGCCTACTCTTAACGATTTTGGACCACCATGTCATCTTTAACGTGCGCAACTTGCACAAGAGACCTCCTAGACTTTTCGCCCTTGTCAGAGAAGGCTAGGTGTAGATCTTGATATAAATTTGCGAGCACTTCCCCATATTCTCTACCTTCTCTTCTCTCTCTCTTACACACACACACACACACACACACACACACACACACTATACCGGGTCTGGGCGCTGAAACTTTCCAAAATCACAAAAGATTTCCCTACCGGGTCTGCATACTTCGTGACTGTGTTCCCGGTCACCGGGTCTGTATACTTCGTGACTTTGTTCCCGGTTACCGGGTCTGTACTGTATGTATACATTACACTTCTCAACTTCTAGGGGCCTACTGTCTCATCATAGTGGTTGCTCGTTACACAAGTCCTCCCTGAATTTATACATAAAGTAAAAGCCGGCACTATTTCTCCGAACGTTCCAGAAAATAAAGCTGGGCACTATTTCTCCGAACACTCTGAAATCACATCCTTTCCGCAAATTTCGGATATTATGTAGATCTATAATTATAGTATAGGCCTACCAAAGATTGTTCGTATACAATATGGTTCAATCATCCAAAAAATGTCCGCAGTAAATATTTATAAACAAAGAAATGCTAGTTTCAAACAGTTTTTAGCTACAGATATGACGTTGTTGCCTATGAAGGGTGCTGCTCTTAAACTTAATTAACTTAATGTGTTGTGTTCACTCGAGTGCTGTCTAGATTTAGATCTAAAGGAGGGTTATTGATAACGACACATAGAACTAGCATAGACATCTGCGTTTGTCGCGGCCGTGACCAATCAATCGTGGCTCAACTTTTTGGCATTTTTTGGTCCCCAAATCGGAGAATAAAAGTCAAAGGGGGGGCTCTCGTGGCCTAGAGGTTAAGGTGTTGGCCTGTCATTCAAAGGTCCCGGGTTCGATTCCTGGTAGCGACCAAAAAATTTTCTTCTCTAAAATTGTCTCCTTTCACATCCTTTCCTGATCTCTAACAATGTTCTGTTGTCTGCTTTCATTTCCACTTTCTGCCCCCACCCCCTCACCTCCTTTGCCCCCTCCTCTGGGCTCCTGACTCTTTCTGCAGCCTTTCTACTGCTACTCCTTGGCTCCTCCTAACTGCTGTCTTTCTGCCACACCCCTGATCTTCTGGTAGGAAAGATCTACACCTAGCCTTCTCGGACAAGGGCGAAAAATCTCGGAGGGCCCGTGTGCAAGTTGCGCACGTTAAAGATCCCTTGGCGGTCTAAAATCGACAAGAGTAGGCTTCGGCCGCCACCCGGGCAAAATTCAAAATTTCCTACCAACGAAAAAGTATTAGGTGTGTCCCGCGCGCTCATATGACCTTATGCAGTTGCGAGCGCCGTAAAACCCTATACTAAACAAACAATAAACAAAAGTCAAAGGAAAAAAGAAGAAAAAAAGAAAGAAACCGAACCTCTTTACTTTTGAAAGAATGTTCACCTAGCTTCACTTCGTCTTTTTCTCACTTGTTGTCACCACGTTGATTTGTTGAATACGTTACAGTTACTTTTATTTTTCCCTCTTTGTGGTCTTTTATTTTGTTAGTGTGTATTTTTTTCTTTCTTGTTATTGTTCTGATGTGTTGTTTTTCTATCAATTTTTTAATGGGGGGGAAAAAAAAAGGGGGGGGGGGGGGAGAGGTGTTGTATAGTGTCATTTAATTTGATGTTCCCACCTTCATTAGATTCTAGATATATATTATATACATGTATATATATAGATTTAAATGTGTTATGTTAGAGCGTACGTTCCACCAAAACCGATCACATGTACTGACACTGGCAGGCCCCTTAATGTGTGCGATTCCATAATTTACTTGTAAAGTAATATCCTGTACTTTGTCTTAAAATTACGCACATTTAGTGTTAAAACAGCCAATCTTCTTCGAACAGGTGGACTCACGCCCTTATTTGTTAATTTTTATGGTTGTTTATGGGCTGTTCTAATTTTGATTTCATTCTGTTGTGAAACCTTTCTTTTTCACGTTTTTACATTCATCTAAAAATCTCTAGACTAGCCAGACTAGCTCTTGAAAATTGAAATAGATATAGACCTATATATATATAGACAATTTGCTCCTGTGTGTGTGTGTGTATATGCATGTGCGTGTGTGAGTGTGTCTGTGTGTGGTAGTAAGTGTGTAAGTGGAGAGTGAGGAGCGTGCATGTGTTTGTTTTTTGGGCTTTATTTCAGCCTTTATTCAGTAACAGTGTAACAGTTCAAAGTATACAAACACAGAAACACAGGATACATTCACTCCAGGGCTCATGAGTCGTTCCTCTCTTTCAGTTTCACTCATTCATTCAATTCCCGTGTTCTCTCCCACAGCTCATCCCCGTCCGCATGACTTTCACACCCCACCCCCTCCCTCCAGGCACACACAAAGAAAATCTCACTCATTGCCTTGCACCCTGCGAACCATGGACAATAATATAGGCAAAACACTGCCTTAGCCGCATTCCTTTCGTTCGTGAGCTGTGGACCAGGCCAGGGGGGTCGGTGTCGTCGTCTTGTAGTTGCTGTCGCCTGTGGATACACTCGTACATGGATGCATTCTTCCTTTCACCTGCTCTTTCACTCACACTGTCTCTCCATCCACAGCTCAGCTCGTCATACGTTCAAAAGTTGCCCACTGATCATGTTTAGTTAGTGTGTGTATACGTTTGTGTGTGTACATGATGTGCATGATGGTGGTGGGTGTGTGGTGGGAGTTACTGAAGGTTGTCTGTAGGCGGGCTTGCCATGTGGTGTTCCTTCCCAATCCCAGACCAGAGGCAGAATGAAAGTTGGCGCCGAACTCTCGCAATAAATAGGCAAAAAATCACGAGACCGGAAGCCGGAAACCGTTCGGAGAAATAAAGATCTGCACTATTTATCCGAACGTTCGGAGAAATAGTCACTTCGTAAAGTAATTTATTTAAGCTTTCTGACACAGCAAATTAACTCTAGTCCTGCGGGGTTAACCGGAAGAGGGCTCTTATTGATCGATGACCCACTTACGTCGCCTGCGGGCTTGTGCCGCGGGACGCCGGGGTCAGGCACTGGTTACGCGAGCGTGCCGCGGCAGGTCAGGGAAACACCTCATCTTTAATAGCAAACTGATACAATCAATGAATAAGTGTTACGATCACACGAATAATCCCATTATCCCCTCGTCGGTAGATCAGAGACGCTGAGATTGGAAGTTACACCAAATCGAATAACTTTTCCAGAGTTTTCCAGATTTCACACCTATTATGAATGAACTTGTGAACAGCTGCTTCAGCTATCGTTCGAAAGGGGGAAAAAATGGGATAATTTCCTAATATTTTTTTTATTCAGTTGCTCTCAAATGTCTCCCACTGGTAGGACAATGGTTCAAAAACCACCAAATATGATTATTTACATCAGGACACAACGTTTGGTGTAAGATAATTAGATCGTTTGAAAAGTGAGGAAAGGTGTTCGCATTGAAAGATGAAAGTCATAGTTCCTGAATATCCTTTCGAGTCCCTGAAGTGTCTAACTGGGTCAAAATGCTCATATTTCATTGGATGAACGTCTCAACCGACGCTCTGTTATCTCTACCAACGCCTCGCGTTGCAAAACAATGCAGTAAGTTTGAGATGGACACTCAGGCACAAGCAGATTGACGCACACACATTTTAGCACACAGATGCAGACTCCGTCGTAAACGAAATGCGTTGCCCGCACGGGACGACGACTGATCAGGGACCAGCTGTGGAGCGCCGCGCGGGATTGCGCTTATCGGGCAAACATTTATCAGGGACCAGAATCTTAAGGGTTATTTAAAGTAAAATCTTTGAATTTGTGTGTAGGCCTATATAAACTTAGGTTAGGCCACCTCTATTCTCACCCGGAGTGAGAATAGTGCAGGCGAGTCTTGTGGCTATTCTCACCCGGTGCGCGTTCACCAAATTTTGCGTTCACCCTGCCTAAACCACAGAATTCTACACTGTGATAACAGAAAAATTGTAGAATTCTGTGCCGTGAACAAACGTTCCATTACAACTGTAGCCTACTAAAAGCGTACAATTTTGTCTGTGGGCAGTGGAGAGAGAGAGAGAAAGAGAGAAAGAGAGAGAGGAGTAGCGCGAGAATTTCCGGGGAAAACAAAATGGCGACCCCCGTAGTTCGGCCCGATTCGAAAAGTTAAATAGCCGTAGCATCTTTGTAGACAACCAAATTAATTTACTTTTGTGTTTTAACATCATTTTTTAACTTTGTTTTGGTCAATTTGATTGTCCACACCGATAGACAGTGTAATTCAGAAAGAGACAGAGAGAGAGAGAGAAGAGGGGAGGAGTTGATCTTGCGAGAACTTCCGGGCAGGTGAGAATAGCCACTTTCATCTTTAAAGCCTTACACTTAGGCCTACACTACACTGACTTGGACTAGCCTATAGATTCTTCTACTTCTAGATCTAAATGTAGATCTACCCCTATCTCTACTAAAGTCTACTCTTCAGGACCCGATTCGATCCTCTTCTCCCTCCGCCTCACTCACTGATCAATCGGCGATTGAATCGCTCTCACTCAACAGTAGGCCTACTGTTCCATTATAATAATCAATAGGGTGGATCTGGGGGAATTTCTTACTTTTCACCCTATAACAATAATTTAAAGGTACAATACAAATAATTAATACTCTACTTACTGAATGATGCTTGGGTGTAGAATGATCTTTTGGAGCCACAAACATCGTCGCTTTCGTTCGTCTTGTCAGGCCCGCATCCATCTTGATTAAATTCTCGCGCGGCTATGTGCGGTAATGTGCGGTTGCAATTGGCATCAACACAATACCCACAGTAACCGAAAATATTTAATGTGGATAATTTTGAACATATTAAATTATTATTCAGAGGCTCTATTTTTTTTCTTTCAGGCACAACATATAACTCTAGAAGCATAGAATGTCACAATTTTTCCCTGACCGTTTGAGGGACAAGCGGAAAAAATTTCCTAGTGTCACTCTCCTTTCTAAACAAGAAAAAAAAAACCCGCACTCAAAAAACACCTAATGCATTGAAACACGAAGATTATCACTTCCGGTGTATGCCAATATGGCGCTGACCGTGTCAACAAGGTAACAGCAGTTCTAGACACGAAAACTCGTTCTTCCAGCCGGTTCTGTTTTATTTAAGGATATTACGTTTCTTATGGTTCTTTTTAATGAGTTGGTAGCAACAAAATTAAGTTTTTAATTTGCAATCTTCTCGCTGAATCAGCCACGACTCGGTGGCAGTGTTCTCACTCACTGATTGAATCACTGTCTTGGCTGACGGACGATGAAACTCAACTAATTTGACCCTCGTTCTGCGGAGGCCGAGTTTATGTCGCCCGATAAGCCTATTTCGGCACCTCACTTGCGTTCTGGTCCCACGTCAGTCTGGCCCCTGGCTCAGCACATGTGCGCCTAGCATCATTTCTCGTTCAATTGTGGTCCCGCGTCACGCG